GAGACGCAGAGCCCAGCGCGAAGATGGAGATGCTGGCGCAAACGATACTCAATTTGATAAGTCCTATACACGCTGGGGTGGGGTCAAATTCAAGAATTAGAAAATTTTATCGCCGAAGACCCCGTAAATTGGAGAGAAAATACATTCACTGGAAAGAGGAAGAAAAGCTGCATTGAATAACACCTTAGTTGTGCGCCGTTTCATGATCTTTTGGCATCACCAAAAGTGGAATTTGATAGCATCAGAAAAATAATTCTAAAAATTTTTCGAGGCTGGCTATAGATGCCGCAAAATTGCATTATATTGCCCTTTGTTTGCTCTATCTAACTGTTGCCAAAGCTCTTTCTAAAGTCAAATATAAAGCTTGTGAAAAATTGCCAAACTTGGACATAGTAAAAACTATGGGTTTGAATTTTGGGCGTCAATCTCAGTGAACAAAAGATTAATCGGCATGGAAGCATGACAATTAGAAAGAGAAGGAAAAGATGCGTCGGATTGTGCTTAGAGCGTTTCCCTACCTTTGTTCCACGCGTTTTTATGATAGGCTGAAAAAACGGACAAAACTTTCGGGACAACCTAATATAAGATGGGCTGCTGCATAAGTTTTGTCCGATTTGAATTTTTTAGTTCAAAATGTCATAACTTCTTTCAAAAATCAACTTTTTTCCAAGATCTTAGTTTCTTCGTATAGAGCAGCTCCTTGGCTACCGGAAACATATTGAGACTTGCGAAAATCCTTGTTAAGGAAGAAGTAAGAACTCAAGAACTTCAGAGCTTTTTCTTCAAACCTGTCTTTTTGACATGGCAATGTTCCCTTATGAAAATTGATAGGCATCTTATCTAACAGTGGTTATATAGAGAAATTTTTGTTGATCATTTTGCGACATAAAAGAGCCCATACGGTCTGCGTTGCCGAGAGATTTTTTTGACCAAGCAAAAAAAGAATCCGCTTTTTGACCTCTCTTCAGCGCATGTCTGCTTGACTATTTACGAATTATAAAAATTTTACAATTGACGTGAGCACCGAGAAGGAATTGGTGGATGAGCCCTGCTAGCTCTTGCTTTACCCTAGCACCTCCAACTTTGAACTCATCAATTACTTCTATTCGCAGAAAGTTGTTGCATGTAAAACATTTATACAAAAAATCAGTGTTCGACAATAAATTTTACTAGCCAGACGTTTTCTTCATGGAAGTAAACTTCTGCCTATACTAGCCTCGTGCGTCCTTACTCCGCAACCAATAAAAGAACTTGACTTGAAGGGCGCATTGTTGAGATTTTCTATCAAGAACATAATTCTAGGGTAAAAACGTATCTCGGCCACTTGGAGATCTTAGGGAAATCTCTTCACGCTAAGAAATTAATTGAAATTTGATATGCGTCAGAAAGATCAAGAAAAGCACTTTCTAATGATACTAACAAACCGCATTAGAGATGAAATTCTCTTAAACCAGCTGCTTCAAACGCAAGGCAAAAAAAATCGGACAGAACTTCTTCTGCAGCAACTTAATAATTTATACAGACCATATCTGTAACTTGGGTTTTCGGTTGCCTTTTGATCTCGCATTCCAAATAAGCTAGTGTAAAATCTGCCCCCTGTGGGCTGCATGAAGCACCATGAGGTATTCCTCTATGTGTTCGCCAACGCAATCACACACTTCCTTGCTTTCTAGCGTTAAAGCCCTAGAATTAGCCCTGCAAAAAAATTCGAAAACTTTTCCAGGAGTACGTCATGCAAGCCATGCTGATTGCAACAACATACTATAGGAAAAGCTTAATATAGCTCAACGCCATTACAAGCTGATAGAGTCATATCCGGAGCGGATTTTCGGCTTTCCAGAAAAGCTTTTTCGCTCCAGACTTCACTGATAGACTACAGTCGTCCTCACCCCACTAGTCGGTCGGTAGTCGAATTTGTAATCGAATGCAGCAGGCCGGCCACGGCAGAGCGCGGCAGACCGCCCCTCAGCCAACCGCTTGCACATGAGCTTTTCTCTTTTTTTTTCTCTTCGTGTTTCTCTACTATCTCTCGTATTGCGGCAATGTTCTTAATCAGATTTCTAGATTTTGTACCGCTAACTATTGTTTGTGCAGTTGTGCTCGTTTGTTTTACATTTTTTTTCTGGTAAACCGGGAAGAAGGATGCGATTGGAGATTTTGGATGAGAAATCTCTTAATGTAATTTGATGAACTATAATATTTCAAGTTTTTCGTTACAATGTGTACACTCCGAACTATTTTTTTGCGATAGGGCTGAAATTTCCGCAAAAAGTGTTTGTTTCAAAGGGTTAGCGGTACGAATTCTGAAAATTCGATTGAGAACATTGCCGCAATATGAGAGATAGCAAAGAAACACGAAGGAAATAAGAAAAAAGCTCGTGCAAGCGATTGGTTGAAGGGGGCGTCTGCCGCGCTTTGCCGCGATCGGCCTGCGCCAGTTTGAATTCAAATTCGACCACCGACCGACTATTGGGGTGAGGACGACTATATCTGGGAGTAATCTATTGTCAGGTGTATAAGCCGCACTTCTTCAAATTTTAAACGAGCCGGTTAGCCGCTTCATTGTGTTTCGAGAAGCGATCCTTAGGCTGCGTTCATACTGATCGCGAAGTTCGGGAACAGTTCCAGCACAGTTTTCAAAATGAGCGCTGTGCTGGAACTGTTCCCAGACTTCGGGATCAGTATGAACGCAGCCTTATGCCGCACGATTCTTTTAAGCAATACGCAGCACGGTATAGGGTCCTTTGGTTGCAAGGTCCTTTGATGTATTCGGGCTGGTCGATGTAAGCTAGGACCACCCCGCGGCTTATACACCTGAAAATAGGGTACCATTGGAACACTGTAGAATCCCGGTACTCATCATTTTGAGGGGACGCTGCATTTTATGTGAAGGCCACAGCTTTAAGTAAAATAGGAACTTGTTAGAGGTAACTATGAACCGCTAGAAAATCGTGACGTCTCAAAAATCAGTTCTAGAATAAAAACGTATTCGGCTGTGTTCTTCTATATAGCACCAACAATTTCTGTTATTTCCAAGATCTCGAAATTATGACGGGCGCTTGTATAATTACGTACCGCACCCCACTAGTGCGATTCTATAATTATCAGCTTCTTCTTATCTTCGATCTTTGTTCCTTTTCTTCTCTTCGTATTTTTTTAGATTTCAGAAGCATCACCGCTAATACGAAGGCTGTCCAAAAAGGTTATCTATTCTATATTCGAATACGAAATTTGCCGAAAATGATGAGAAAAAAATTTATTTTGGAATTCAAAATTGGTTCTTATCAGTGGCGTACCCAGGATTTCGGCTCGGAGGGGGGGGGGGAGGGGTGCGGCAAAAATTTTTTTCAAAAGAAGGTGCGTGGCGTCAGCCACGCACTCCGAAAAATTTTTAGGGGGTTTTTCAAAATTTTTGCGGGCTCCCAACCCCTGAAATCTGGAAAAAGGGGGCGTGGCGTCAGCCATGCCCCCGAAAAAATTTTTTTTGTAAGGCTAATTTGAATTTTTAAAAATTTAAAAAATTATTTTTATTGTTTACAAAAGTAAACAAGTCACTTGCATATTTTTATAACTCATGTAAGTAACTTTCAAAAATTTCGCGACCCGTTCTCGGGGGGGGGGATGCGCCCCCCCCCCCCGCCCTCCTCCCCCCCCCCTTCTCGGTACGCCACTGGTTCTTATGTGTGTGTCATGCATCTATCTACGCCATGTGAATATGGAAAGAAATCACTGATTGTGAGAAACTCATGAAGTAAAAGTTATGAAGCTAGCCACGAGAAATCTCGGTATCTACTTTGAAACCTTAAACACGTGTAATATTAGCCGATTAAAATGTTCTCTAGCTCATTCACCTTGGAAGAATGCATATAGCTTATACCTTCCACTGCTTATTGGATACTTGAGACGGTAGATATATTTGAAAGCATGTATCCACAACTTCAAACAAAACTCTTTCTTCTTCATAAATCCTCGTCTCGTGTTTATATATTAAAATTCCTGCAAAAAAACTCCACCTTCATTCTTTTACGCTGTGGGGATCACCTGGGACAATAATTTCACTGACAAGGCGACTTCAGAGTCAAAGGTTAGAATTTTACCTACCCCAACAAGGAGAAGTGATTAAGAGAAGCGGCCTAAGTTATGGGATGTATACCATCTTGGAGAGCATAAAATGCTAATTTCAAACCTTTTTCTTTTATCTGCGGAGAATTTGTGGACAAGGAGTTACAAGCGCTTAATGAAGCGAATTTCCTAGCGCTTACATGAGGCAGCAGAGCATGGACATATTTTATCTAAAAGTACCTACTGCATAAAGTGCTCAAATAACTATCATTGCTCCAATTTCGTGCTAAGAAGAATTTACAACGTCTTTTCCTACTTGTACATTCATATTTTTCTTCAATAAACGCTCACACTTATTATAAGGAGGCGCCAGATAAGAAAATCAGATTCAAAATCAGCCTCTATACCCTCCAGATTGCATGAATTCCATATCGTGGCCATTTTGACTAATCTTCTGCTTTTTGTTTGTTTCCAGGTTTAATGTATCATTCACGTTTAAAGGCCTCAAGTAATCCGATATCCAAGACTTGTGAAGTCAAAGTGAAGGCGATTTCGCCGACATGACTGTTACTTTTATGCACAAAATTAAATAATTCTTTGTTTAACATAGCCTTTTTCCTTAAACAAAAATGTTGCAGACCATGTATTTATAACATGCAGTTAGCGAGTTGACGTTGTCTCCTCTTTTTGTTCTTGTCTCCTCTTTTTGTTTATCTTTTTTTTGCAAAGATAAAGAATACCAATAAAATATTAGCAACAAAAAAGGGGTAAACCATTTATGGGAGCATTTTAGGCATTTTGTTGGCCTGTGCTTGTGTGTTGTTCGTGGAGATAGCCAGAATAATCGCTTCATACTTTCATTCGTTATCATATGGGACTTCCATCTCTGGATGGTTCTAAGATTTTGATGGCTCATGCTGGATATTCATGTTCAACACAACAGATTAGCATTTTATGGGAAGTAAATAGTTAAATAATATGACAAAAGCGAAAAAAAAGTAACAACTTGATAGGGATAAGTAGGAAATGCAATAAAATGATGTTGATTAACTCTATGGATACTGTAGACGATTTCCAGTTACAAGTGCAAGCAGTGCATCACGGTACGGACCAGAGGTTTCGCTCTAAAACATAAATTGATAAAAAATGCTAAGCGGTAAGGAACGTGAACGTGAAAACGTGGAGTGAAACGCCCATACCTTGATAGCGTCAACAAGCGGCTTGTTATACATTGCCTCGTACTCCTTCTTGATAAGATCGAGATCAACTTCTGAGCGAGTGACCAACACACGGATCAGGTCATTGTCGCGAGTTCCCAAGCCCTAACCATCAAGTGCAAAAAATTAAAAATTGTTGTAGTTAAAGGCAGCGTCCAGGCAAATCTGGACATACGGGGTTCTGATGTGGAAAGTAATTTTAAGCCCCTAACTAAAACATTGCCCAAACGGCAGCTCAAATGGTGAACTCACAGCTGAGGTAATCGCTTTCAAACTGGACCCCGGGGTCGTATTCGCATGGATTCATGGCACGACACGCGTGAGTCCTTGCGCGAAACTGATGTGGATTTAGTGGTGCCATGAATCCATGCGAATAGATCCCAGGGTCCAGTTTGGAGGCGAATATGTCAACTGTGAGCTCACCATTTGAGCTGCCGCTTGGACAGTGTTTTAGCTAGGGCTCCAAGATTACCCTCCAAGTGAGATCCCTATAGGCCCAGATTTGCATGGACGCTGCCTTTAAGCTAAAGATCACCTTCATGGCATTATGAAGTTGTTCAGCGAAAAACTTTTGCTTGTCAGTAGATGCTTTCACGATGGTGAGATAGCTCTTTTGCAAGTCACCACTAAATTCCTTCTCGATCGCCTTCTCGATGGTGTTCCCGGAGAGATTAGCGAAGTTGTCAAATACCTATAGAACGCACTCATGCATTCGTTACGGGGCAGGGGACTATATGCTGCCGATAGGCTTCAGCCACGCGGACAGCTGGTACGAATCCGGTATATCTGTAATGTAAGGAGCTGCGTGCTCTGTCGCAGACGTCCGCGCGGGACCGCCCACTTTCGGCAACATATTATCCTTCACCCATGAAGTACTCTCACCTTTCTTAGCTGATGCTGATTCTGAGAGACAAGAATGTTCAAAAAGTGTGATGGTGCACCCTTGCCAACCAACTTGGCCTTACCGTCAGCAAAAAGTCGAACGGCATCCTAAAAGCACAGCAATTTGGTAAATTTTTGGTGCGAAAAATGGTGAAAAAAATGCGAAAAAATGGAAAAACATGCATCTTTGGCCTGGTTATCATCGGTGCTGCGACTGCTGTCCTTCATTCCTGTGATTAGAGCAACCAAAACATCCTTGAACTCGCCAGATGTGTCACCCGCCACCTAAAAATTTATATTAGGTCATTCCGAAAGTATTTTCGCATTCTTCAAATGGGCGCCACATTTGATCGAACAAAGGTTTCTGAGAGATCCTGGAAGCATTCGATGCAGAACTTCAATCTCTTTGTAATGGTTACGAAATTGTTGCAAAACAGTCAATGAGCTTTCAGAAAATAAACAAAATCTGCAACCTATGCTTTTTGAGATGGTCAAGTTTCACAATTTTTTAAAACCTTCATATCAATCCACAGAAGGAGTTTAAGTAACGATTCGATAAAGTAAACCTTATAGAATTCAGCACTACTTTTTTCTCCTCTCCATAGCTTGTCATACATTTTTAACAGAATTTTGAGTGATGCTACCGATTTTCATACTTGAGTAGCTAAATCCTCGTAGAACATCAAAGGGAGAACAGCTCGAGTACTATTCGATACGCATTTTCTCCTCTTTCTAACGGGTGTTTTTTATTTCCGATTCGTTCAGTTTTCGGGGATAAAATCATCACAATTTATTTTTTAAGGAACCCCAGGCTGTACCTAAAAAACTCGAAATTTGATATTTCAGAACCGTAAACCCTCACTTGCTTTGTAAAGTCACTGCTATCTCATAGTACCATCTTTGTAGTCTCAAATTCCGAAACATTATGATGTTTGATGCGATTGTGGGTGAGGTGGGCCTGCCAAAATCTGATGGTTCTGTTGAAAAATCTTTCAAAAAATTACGGCGAGCTACGAGAAAGGGAAAAAAGTAGTACTATATTCTATAAGGTTTACTCTATCGAATCTGCTATTGAACTCCTTCTGAGGACTGATATGAAGGTTTTAAAAAATTGTAAAACTTGACCATCTCAAAAAGCATAGGTCGCAGGTTCTGGTTATTTTCTGAAAGCTCATTGACTGTTTGGCAACAATTTCAAAAGCATTGGAAAGAGAATGAAATGCTGCATCGAATGCTTTCAAGATCTCTCAGAAACCTTTGTTCGATCAAATGTGACGCCCATTCGAAAAATGCGAAATTACTTTCGGAATGATCTAATATTTTTGACTTTCACCTCGATTTATAGAAGTTCTGGGAAATGAAAAGGGTAATTTTCACTGTAGATAGTGTCTACTGCAAAGATCTTTTCAAGTAATCAAGCCACAGAATCTTTTTCAAAAAACCTAGAACAAAACGTCAAAATTAGCCAGAAGAAGCTGAAAGCCAGTGATTTTCGCAAATCTAAATAATATTCAAACTGGAAAATGCAATTAATAACCCGCTCAGTTTATTCCAAAAAAAATAATAATTTCCCACTCATTTCACCTCCTGTATACCTCTGCCATTGGAAACACGGCGAATGCTATCATTTGAAAAAACCAGCGTAACCATAGCGATAAAAATACATTGGCAGCTTGCAACTACGAGGTGAAAAGTGCAATGTGGTAAAAACAGACATGCAAGCCATACTGAAGTATGGGTCATTTATAAAATCATGACAACGGATATGACTGCGATCCTTGCGCCTACACGAGCAGAAAACACTCCTCCAGAAATGCATCACCTCAACTCTCAGTTCAGTTTTTTGCATACTATCGTACGCAAGCAGTCCGTGCTTTTCCAAACGCCGGTGATGGTTATCATGTTCATTCAAGACGATTTGGACAATGGATATCAATTTAAAAAGTTATAAAAGGCTGGTAATATGTAGTATATAGGGCATTCGAAAAGTCGTGAAGATGGTGCGCTTGACACGCACGCACTTCCGGCATTTTGTTGGCTTTTCATTCCTACTCAAATGGTGATTAGCCTCTCTGTGAACGCATTGTATTTGATGATCGAAAACTTGTTCCAGTAGATTATCCTCCGATTTTTCATCCTCTGGTTTGCAAACTTTTCCTTTGAAGTACTCTACCCTAATCTTCATCACCCAAACAAATGCCAAATTCTGGAGATAAAGTAAAACTTCGGTTTTTGTACCTAGAATGGTGACCAGTGCGTATTGGATGCAAGGCGCTATACAAGGTTTGGCACTTAAAGGCACCGTCCACCCAAAATGGAGGTTGGCGAGATTATGATGGCATACTAGTGTGGGCCCCCACACTAGGCAAACCTCCAAGCTGCTCCGCAAAAGTCTGCTTCTGGAGCGAGAAATCCGCTCCGGAAGTAGCAAAGTAGGCGGGGCGACCATGGTCGCTCCGCCCACTTGCATGCTTTATCTCGCTTGCACTTGCTGCAAAGGGTTCTCGAAACAGGGATTTATGGGTGTTTTGCGGATTTTCGATTCCATATCCGAAATCAGGGCCTTCAGAAGGCCTGGAATCGACAAAAACATGGAAGTCGAGAATTTGGGTGGACGGTGCCTTTAAACACCTATTCAACCACCGTATCATCTCCCGTTGGCGCGCGATTTGCAGAGACGATTACGGTAGCCATTACGGTAAGTGCCGCAAACGGAGCAACGTTTTAGTCTAGTGCCTGATTCTTGCGTTGTTTCTTTTTTCCATTTTTCAAACCTTTTCTTTTTTTTTCGGGTGATTTAGCAAATGAAAGTTGTATTAACGGCGTCTTGGCTGCACTCAGGGACTCGCACCGTGCGGGCGGCCAGCGACGAACTTACAATCGCTCGTTGGTGTGTGCGATTGTACGGTCGTCAAGGGCCGTTAGCACGGTTAACGTGGGGCGCCCGCACGGTTTCTAATGCTCGCCGCTTGCGCGGGGAAGGTCGGCCGCTCGCTTGCTGCTGGAGTAGGTTTATATGGGGTATTTTAACCATTTTTCTTAGGTATGTTAAGCATTTTCACATCCTGCGAACACGGACTAATGCCTGCCGCACTACCCAAACTTTCCATGGAGAAGCCCAGACCATCACTCTTGTTAACTGTAGCCTCACGCAGGTTCATTACAGCTTTGCAGTGAAGAGAAATGTTGATAACACGATAGTCGATGCTTAGCCAGCCTAAACGCTGCGTCGTATCTCATGCAGGTACCGTTTGCGCTCACAGTGTGTGAAAACAATGAGCCGAAGGTAGAGGTCACTGTTGGCCGCTTGCACGGGCAAATGTTTGCCGCCCGATCGAACGGACACATTGCCTGCCGCTTGCACGGTCGGTTTTATTGCGTACCGATCGAACGGGTAGATTGTCTTCCGCTTGCACGGCATTTTTATTGTTGACCGCACGCACGGTACATCAAAAACTATGCAGTGCGCTCAGGCGGAGGAGCTTTAATGAGGACCGCCCGCATGGCGCGAATCCCTGAGCAGATGGTGGGTGTGAATCTTGAGACTTCTAGTGCTCTAAAAAATACTATTTCTTCGCAAATTTCTGCCAGCAGTATTGTATTAGGTTGTCAAGAAAATAATGTCCGTTTTTATTTGCTTGCTTTAACAAAGCAACCAGACTGAACCCAACAAAGGGTAAGGGGCACTGTTCGATAGAGTAAAGCAAGCTCTACAAGACGGCACTCATGTCTTTGCGCCAAGCTCGATCCACTGAGAGTTCGAACTCAAAATCTAAAGATTTCCAAAGGCCCAAAAAATCGAAAAAAAATCAGATCTTCGTCCAGATAATTTCTACGGACCTCCCACTCGTTCATATCAATACTATCGATATCAGATATCCATACGTGCGATTGGCGTATTTTTTCCTTGACTAGAAACTGAGAAAACGAAAATTTCCCTGATTTTCTCAAAGCAATGCTGAGCCGTTTCTGCATATGTAGTTTTATACTACAAGCCTAGGTAAGCATAACTGTAGGTTTTCAGCCTATTTCGAGCGGTACTTTTCGAGAAATGTCGATTTTAGCACTGAAACTGCGAAAAAATCCGAATCCGTTATTTTTCGAAAACTACCGCTTGGAATGGGCTGAAAATCTACAGTTATACTTACCTAGGCTTATAGTATAGAACCACACTTGCAGAAACGGCTCAGCATTGCTTTGAGAAAATCAGGGAAATTTTCGTTTTCTCAGTTTCTAGTCAAGGAAAAAATACGCCAATCGCACATATGGATATCTGATATCGATAGTATTGATATGAGCGAGTGGGAGGTCCGTAGAAATTATCTGGACGAAGATCTGATTTTTCTCGATTTTTTGGGCATTTGGAAATCTTTAGATTTTGAGTTCGAACTCTCAGTGGATCGAGCTTGGCGCAAAGGCATGAGTGCCATCTTGTAGAGCTTGCTTTGCTCTATCGAACAGTACCCCTTACCCTTTGTTGGGTTCAGTCTGGTTGCTTTGTTAAAGCAAGCAAATAAAAACGGACATTATTTTCTTGACAACCTAATACATTTTTGTAAATGTGAATTTTTTACGATATTAGATCAACATTCATGATTCAATGTTCTATCAACGATGGCTCCAATCTGTAACTACCATAAGTGTAACCTACATCCTTCTCCAATGGTGTCTTGTACAGTCTCTCATATTCAGTTCGAATCGCAGCCATTTGGTCAGTGGTGCGAGAGCAGAGAATCTCAATCAAAGTAGCTTCATCGGTGCCAAGGCCCTAGAAGAGAATAAATTGGAACAAAAACTTGCTAATGTTTCTGCAATTTGCAAATGCGTATGTTTTCACCAACCTTGATAGCTTGTTTCAGTTGCTTGACATCATAATCCAGAGGAGTGTCCATGAGAGCGAACACAGTCTTTTCGAGATCTCCACCCAACTTTTTGTCGAGTGCTGAGATGATGTCCTTACCGTACTTGATCTTGTAAGGTTCGCGCATCTGAAAAATTACTTATCAATATAGTTTTTAGGTCGCTTTGATAAAATACCAGAAAAAATCCAGGGTTAAAAATTAAAAATAAAAATTCCTTAGACTGCCCGAGAAGCGCATTTCTGGAAAAAGGAATTGATACATCAATGTAACCTCTTTGTTGGTTACTATGGTGTTTGTTGTTACTACGTTTTATATTTGTTCACTCATTATTGGTTTTATGACATTTTCAATCCTACTTTTTATTTCACTTTTTTCTTGATTTCAAGAGATCGGATAACAAAGTCTAAGATAGAAATTTTACTATTTCTTTGTATTTCGATCGTTTTTCATTTTTTTCTCAATCATCACATGGAGCACAAAAAGCTTTTCTCAAAAAATAATTTGACGAGAATCAATTTTTTTTTTGTTCCATTCGCGGATATTGAAGAATTTTCACTGAGATTCGTGGATAAAGTTTCACTGGGATTCGTGGATACTTTTCAATCTGAAAAAAATTCTGGAACAGATACCGTATGAAAATTCCTCTCAAGTCGAGTTTCGGAAGTCTCTTTAAGTCTTTTTATGACCTACCAATGGTTGGTAAATGTTCACAAACTGCATCTGAAAGTTTAGGATTGAAATTCTGAGATACCTTACCAGTCGAAAATTCATGTTTCTTATTCATCACAGGAAGTAGATCGAAAGAACTTGTTGTGAAAGGATATTTTTATCAAATAAATAGGTTTTTGTAAAGCTTTGTCGAGATCATACAATCTGCAAGAATCCTAAAATAGGATATCGCATATTCCTCTCATGTCGAGTTCTGGAGGTTTCTTTTATGATCCACGAAAGGTCAGTATATGTTCACAGACTGCATTTTTATACAAATTTTTCGCATGACTAACCTTTTGACGCTGATCGTTGCTGATCGAGGTCAACACCTTGACAATGGTATCCTTGTCACTAGCTCTCAAAGCACGGTCAACTTTCTCAGCATACAAAGCCGGATGGAAGTCCGGGTTGTCAACAATTGTAGCATATGGGGAGTTCATTCTGCAATTTTTCAAGAAGTTGGATTTGCTGCATCCGAGAAGAAAAGACACAGAAACGAAAAAGGCTACTGTGGAGAATATAAGAACAAGATAAGATCTTGAAAACACAATCTCTAGTAGTCAGGTAAGAGGATGACAACAGCGTCAACTCGCAGACGGTACAACTTTGGAGGTTTCTTCATAAATGAGTGAAATAGTAAGTAATTCAAGCATTCACAATTCTACGCAGATGGCAAGTGCACTTTGTCGAAAAAGGCCTAACCACCTGATGAGAAAAAAATGCTCGCTTTTTTGCCCGGCAATGCAGAAGGAATTAATAACAGCGGAGTAACGGCGCGATATTGATGAAAGTTTTTGCTCGTTTTATTCGAGGACAATAATAGGGTAAAAAGTTGTGCGGAATGTTATACAGTGGACATGTAAGTCTTAAGAATCTTGAGATAATGAATATTCAAAAAGAAGAACCAAAAGCTGGAAAATTTATAAATTTGCAGCTGCAGAAAAATGTCCTCAAGCTCGCCAGTCTTTTGTTTGACTCGTTGGGCTGTTATAGTGTCAAAAATGAATTATGGCGAAAGTAAAGAAGAGATGTTGATAGTTTTAAAGCCTTCTGCAAGCGCAAAAAGTGGACCAACCCTCACAATTACGAAGATGTGTGCATGGACTGAACTGAAGATAGAAAGTGCTCATGAAAATGTCAAGGAATGAGCATTAACTACTCCGTGATTCAAGGCATCTTTTGTTATGCGGAGTGGTCTCAAAAATGGTACACATCTGAATATTCTGCTTGCTTCATTCTTCCAGAAGACCAAGGTGCCGTTCAAGTGGTCGGTGTAAAGCAAATTACCACGCATTCAATTACTGTGAGAGCGAAATAGCAAATTCCTACGCATTGATCATGTTGATCTCCGTATCAATTATGAAGAAATCTGAGCTGCAGTGGGATTTCATACAATTTATTGCAACGAACTGTTATGATGATACAATCAGTCTTTTGAAGATTATAAAAAGTGCAGCGATGCACCTGGAGAGTAATTAATCACGAAATCGCAGTAGAGCGCAAACTTCATAGTGGAGAAACTGTGATTAATTCAACGAAATTATCAGAAGTTTTAAAAGTTTAGGATTTTTGAGGATAGGACGATCGCAGAAGCCTAGAATTAGCTGCGCATGATAATAAACATGACTGGTTACATATGACAAACTTAAGGAGCGTCTTCAGTTCTTCAATATGCTTTACTGGATACCATAACTGAGACAATCGAAATGCAATCAAACTATGTCAGTAGCAAATCTCCAAGTATGATAATCCACAAATTCCTTAGCCAAATATTGATTTTTTGAAAACTTTTTCTTGCAAATTGAAGCTTCTTCTAATGACAGAGTAGATCTGCATTTAAAATTTTTTTTGAACTTTTTGACTTCACCAATCCCTATCTAAGCATTATTCAGGTTCATTCGTGCTCAAAAAATGAAATGATGATCTCAATTTATCGACTGCAAAACATGGGATACACCATTGCTAAAGTATTGTTTTCTCAGACATATCATTAGCAGAAACCTAATAAAAGACATGCGCTTTCCTCTGTTAAGTTGTTGGACCTTAAGAGCGTAAATAACATTTTTGGTTGAGCAAAAACATTACTTTCATAGCTTACAAGAATATAAGAAGCTGAGTTGAGCAGTTTAGTTTAATTTAATTCGCCTCGTCACTGCTCTATGAGATATGGTGCATCATGAAAAAAAAACGAAAAGCTTTTCAAACGACAATATATAGTCAGTATGGCATGATGAATGGGGCCTGGTACACAGGGATAAATGAACGTGCATTCTGAAAAGAAAAAAACAATGAGCGTTCATGGATATTATTGTTCGATTGCATTAACTTTTACGCTTCTGCTATGGGAAGCCCATGGAGGCAGAATGTCGATTGGGAAAATCAATTTTCACTGATTTCGTACTTCTGACGATGGAAGTAGAAACCTAGTAGGTAAGTGGTAAGAATGATAAATTTTCTTCATGACAAATCGACTGGCAATGAGCAGAGTCGGTCATGTAGTCTAGAGTCAAAATGAACAAAATGGGCTCTAGCGATCAGCAATTCTGAGAACAAAATTTGCAGGGGGGATGAGGTCTCCAGAGAAGAATATGTCCGGACAAGGTCATGACATCCAGCTCATTCATCCATATGAAGCTAAAAAAATTATAATGAAAAAAGCGCCTATAAAGATCTCTCAAAAAGTCAGAATTTATCTATCATTTTTTAACAGGACTGAGACCATTACGTGATTCGGAACTAAACCAGCAAACCTTTTAAGTTAGCCTTGGTCTCGGTAAGCATGAGAAAACCTGTTAGGGAATTTTGTATGAGGAGTTTAAAATTCAGAGCATCCAAACATGGTTCGACCTGACGTCTAGAAAATTTTAGCAGTACAAGATCTTGGATTCTCAAATGGAGAGGCAAGGCTTCATTCAATTTTCAAAAGAAGCTGGAAGAGGAATCTGACAACGAAAGGTCTCTCATAGAGTTGCGCGGATTTTTAACCGTGACCTGTGCGACATTCATACATAAAACTGGTTGTTACCAATACCAGCGGACAATTTGCAGCAGTAAAAGTTAGAAAAACTCCATGAAAGAGAGGCAGTACAATATGAGACTTTGGCTCCGCGCCAAGAACTGGAATAGCGGGGTTGCATTCAGGGTAACTCAGGTATCGATGCATTCTGCACAAGGCTCACTAGCAGGCTACAGCTCGGCTTTAATCAGCATGGGCTTAACCTCGAAGGCAATGAGAGTGCGAACCAAGGCCGCGCTCCGCCAGAGGACATACGACAATTGAAACGTCGATGACTCAGCTCGGCGAATCAATGTACCGACGTGCACGATGATGGTGAAATTCTGAGACAAGAATGCCGTTAGAATGACACTTTTTATGGGTAAAAAGTTGCGGAGAAAGAGGCGATGTAACACGTTTTGTTAGATATATTCTGCAGGTTTTGCAACTTGTGTAGTAACGCCTAATTTGGATGAGAAATAAACAACAGTAGATAGATTTCTCTTAGCTAGTACTAATCACTTGTAACAAACGTAGCAACTGCAGCTTTGCTAAATAAACAAGCGAAAAAAATCCGGAAAGGTTTTTTCCAACATATTATAATTTTCTATGGAGATGCTAATTTGGCTACTAAATTCTATTGCGTGTAGCCAGAAGCCGTTACTGCACGAATAAAAATCCTAAGGCTCATATGCATATACATCCCTGCTGGAGATGGGAGGGAAGCTTATGGGGATGCCTTATATCTCTTTGCTCTAATGACTGTATCCGTCTTCATTTACCTATCTCAAGAAAGCTCTCATACCCTGGCAGCTGAGCATAATGAATGCCAGGACATTGCCATATACGAAAATATCACTCTTCTGTGAGCTCCCCTCGGATCCCCAAAGGATGGACTTTTTCCAAAGTCGCCTACATATCTTCCCGTAAACTGGATGAATTCGCTGTAAACTCGTACTGAGAATCTGGCTAAGCAAGTTTTTGATGGGACAAAGTTTTGAAGGTGAGTTTTTGAGTTTTGTGAGTTTTTCGATAAACCCAAGCTCGCTAACTTCTGTTCATAGGAATTCCTGACAACACACGATTTCACTTAAGTCTACTATAAACCTGCTCAGCACATAACAGATCCTCAATACTAGATCACGACGTTTTCATCGAGTTTAGGGGAAGATAGACGACTTTAAAAGCACTGACCCGCTGGTTCTCTTAGGGGATTACGCAAAACAGTGAATTCTCAGCTTGCTTGGTAATGTCCTGTCATCCACTATGCTTAGGCATCGGGGTAGAGGAAGCTCCATAAGATAGATAGACGAAGAAAAATAATGGTATTCAAAGCAGCGAAATATGACATGCCTTTTCAGCTCAATTTTCCCCTCCCCAGCGGGAATTGCGTGCACAGAGGGCTGAAAATTTCTCGCAGATCAAAAAATGCGAAATCCAAATTTTCCTTATCGATCTTTTGAAATAATGATCTCGTGTGAATATTGTGTCGTCTTACTTATAGTACAGCACGGGAAATCCCCTCTTCAGTGGTTTTTGATGCTTATGGCTCTAGTATTTGTATTTGTGATGTCGGCCTTCTTTCCATTAGAAATGAACTCAAAATAAAATTATCTGTTTATCTCACGTGTAGCCTGAAAGCTTCTAAGCACAGGTTTCGCTGATGATTATGGTTTCATTCTTCATGTCATGGAGTCTTTTTGCGACTGCTTCCTTTGGAAAAAAGGTTTGTACCATAAAATCGCCGCAGAGATAGTTCAAATGCAACCTCGATTTTTCTCAATAATTGCTAATTATTTTTGCTTCATCGCGCTCTTAAGAAATCAGCTTTCTCATGAAGTTATTTCAAGTCAAAAGAGTGCATGATAAAAGTTTAGATCTGGATTTGAAAAAAGCTTTTTATCTGAAAATTTGAAATCTAGGTAGAGATGACAAAAGAGTAATAATTTTTTATTTTTCAAGATTTTAATTTAGAAATCATTTCAAAATAAACATGAAAAGAGCTCTTGAGCCACAACATACATAAGAAATAATGGCTTGATGAAAGTAGAACAAAAACTTTGCATTGTTCTTGCACAACCTGACATTTTTTCGGCTCTTCTCTTCGGTTGTCGATGACACACGATACAGTTTGAGAGACAGAGCCACAGCGAGCATGGTTCGGTAATGACTAATGACTTCACGATTGTTTCCTACGATAGAAAACGATTAGTCATCAAAAGAAAAAGGTGGAGGTCAAATAGAGAGCACCGCGTTAAGAAACAGAAACGTTGTGATAGCGTTTCTTTACCTCTGCTCATTTTGCCTTTTTGAAAACGCAGATTAATGTAACTTTTTCTTCAAGACCGTCATTTCTCGGTGAACTCAAATTTGTAGAATTAAACGAACTTTTTTGCAAACATTTAAATACATTATCTGCAAAGAACAACAAGAGAAAAAACCGCTATTTATGGATTTCGTTGTCATAGTGCGGGCCTTACAAGAAGTTTGTTCTCAAAATAGACTGCACTCTAACAAATGTTTTTGAGCTTTACAGCTCCTATCAGTGGGTATTCTAAATCTGGTAAGCAACAGAAAGAGCAGTAAAAGCGTTTACTAATGCCTTTAAGCTATGTGCAAAAAAAATCCAAGAATAGTTGTTTTACCAACAGGTAGGGTTTCTGGAACAGCCCAAAATATGGATATGCAGAATGAGAAGCTTGTTACGAGTCCTTCTTCCTCCTGCAAAAGCGTTTTGGCATAGTATTAGAAACGATTTAGAGCAAAATTTAATTGCATCTAAAATAATGAGGCGATAAGAAAATAGGGCTACCATGATGCTAGCGTGAGACGAACCCCAAAAAAGTATGAAGGACCATTCTATTGTTCTATTGTTACTTATAATTACTATTCGATAAAGCAAAGCAAGCTTTACCAGATGACTCAAAAGAGCTGAAGCTTGAAGCCGAATTTTGAAAGCATTCAAATATTCCAATTCAGATCTCCGCACAATTCCCTTGGTGTCCTACGCAAAATTCTACAAATGCTTTCATCTTGCTTATATGTATGCATTTTTTCTCGACGTATTTTTTGCTTCGCTAAGATTGGAAAAAGAAATTATAGTCGAGAATTTCCATAGGCATTACTGATTCTTACATACTGATTCAAAATAATTCTTTAGAGATAAAATTGTATACTACAAACACCAGGTAAGTGAGAACCATACAAATTGTATCTCCCCCCCCCCCCCCCGCGTGTCCTGGTAATGAAGTAATTTTACACACAGTCTAAAAATCGAAAAAATCGTTTACGTGTGTGTGTCGTGTTTGTGTCGTGTTTCGAGCCTTTTTTGTCTCCTAGCCAAGAGAAAAAATACAGCAGCTGTACTTATGATTGTCACATATGCATAGAATATACGTGGCCAAGTATGAGGTTCGCAAAATTGGAGCTAAGCTTCAAATTTGAAATCAGTCAATTACTCAAAGGTTTCAGCTTTGGATTGTGATTGGGTTTTAGGCGGATCTTTGGAAGTCATCTCGTAAGACTTGCTTCACTCTATCATGAAGTGCAAATCTCGCATTTTTTTGATTTTCACTCATGCTCTGGTAGCATGAGAGAGTTCTTATATTCAACCGAGTAAATTTATCAGGATGTCCCATAATTCTTTACCGCTCTTACTGCGACCGTCGTCTCTTTGTATTTTTCCTTTGATTTATGTGGCTTGAGTAATCATTTTACAGGGCAAGGCAAGCTCTACAAGATGACAATGAGTCGTATCTGCACCCCAAAATGTCTTAAAAATTCGCCATTTATCCTAGCGTATGCTTGCACATCACACAATCAATTGTACTATTGTCGTACTTTTTCCATGGCTAGAATCAAAGAAAAAATGAATGGAGTAAAATGGCAAACTCCGCCCCTAGATATCCTGACCTCCTCCCACGCAGGTTATCATATAGCTCATACATACAGAAGTATGACTATGAAATTGTAAACTTTAAAGGTGCTCCAGTTCTCGAGAAATGCTAGGGTAAAGACAGTAAAAAATTATGGGACACCCTAACACTTTCTGCGATTTTTCTTTCACTGCTCAAATGAAGCAAGGCTTCGTGTTGTAGAGTTTACCAGTAACGTAGATTTACACTAGGTAAGAAAAAGAATGTCCTATTTCTCGGCGAAGCAACAAAATGAAGTCGGAAAAATGTGCGAGGGGTATTATTTGAGTAGAACAAATCATTCCCCCTACGATATAACCTCATTAGCCTAAGTCGTATTAGACGAAGAGTTTGAAGCCAAAATTTTAAGATAAATTCTTGACGCTGAAAATCGGATCCGTCCCAGAATAAACCCTTTGAAAATTTTTGCTTGCTCCGGCAATAGCAATTATATGTTCTCATCCATAGATACACTTGATGTTTTCTAACATGGTCACAAAAACAACAAAATCTTGATGGAAGATGGCAAAATCGGCCTCCAGCGAGAATACCCCATGTATGCAGTATTTTACTACAAACTTTCAACCTTTATTCACAATTTCGGCCCTATATATGCGAATGGATTTTCAGAAAATCCAAAAATCTAATCTAATATGTTTTTTATCTCTTTGATGTCATGATAACTTCACTGACGTTGTTATGTGAGGTATACTAAAAGGTGGCGCTTTGAGTACTATATAAATAAATACAGGGTGTCCCAAAAAAATGTATCGAACGTGGATCGTTAATACCTCTCTTCCCAAGAAATCTTTTGCCTTGCTTCAGGTACCGTTTTGTAGAGTTGGCTTCAACTTAGATTTGCATTATAGAACGAATCACCCATCTCTCTTCATTACTGTAGGATTACGGTAGAAACTTGAAACATAAAGTGTCAAAGTGGAAAAAGCTGCCGTTTCAAAATTTTTCAAAAAAAAATGTGAAAACTTGTGTAATAGGGTTTTTATGGACGCTGAGTTCAATACTCAACTGTTCACAAGGTTACGAAGTTTTCTAAACGGTGTAATCGCACTTTTTAGGAACATTGAAAAAATGGCCGCTACCTCTTACCTGGCATAACTCTTCAATGAAGCATCATAATAAGTCGGAAACTTTACAGTTTTAATCAGCAACTCTAATTAGCCTAGTGTAGAAGCTTTCAGGCTGTTTTATTTCTTTTCTGAGGCAAAATATGGCCTTTCATTGCTTAAAACCCTCTTTCAAGTTTCTACCGTAATCCTACAGTAATGAAGAGAGATGGGTGATTCGTTCTATAATGCAAATCTAAGTTGAAGCCAGCTCTACAAAACGGTCCCTGAAGCAAGGCAAAAGACTTCTTGGGAAGAGAGATATTAACGATCAAACGTTCAAAACATTTTTTGGGGCACCCTGTATATCTTCTATTAGGTTGGTGCAAAAGTAATGCGCGTTTTGCGAGTTCCCAATTTGACGTGCTATAACTTTCTAAAAAACCCGTATTTTTCAGTGCGGTCAAGTCCATCAGAGGCAACAAACTTCTCTCTATACAGCGCACACTAATTTGTGCTAACATCACAAAACGTTGGAAAAATATGGATTGTTAAGCAAAAAAAATTTTTTTCGGAAAGCTCGTTTTTAACTGATCATAACTTCCTTCAAGATTTGTCGGTATAAATGAAAAGTTGACTGTCTTGTAGCCGAAAACCAGTAGTACGAAAAAAAGTTGAAAGGGGCTCAAACAAAGAAGATTCGCGAAAATGAAAAAAATAATATTGAAAACTGCCGCTTTTTTCGACATTTTTTCGTAGCCCTCAAAATCCCAAAATATGGAGATTTTTGATTTTCTGTGTACTGAACAGCTTCCACATTTCTGCAAAAACTGTCAACAGGAGGCCCACTCTTACGCTTACACAAATGAGCGAAACTTTGGCGATTGCCTTCTTCAAAGGAAATCTATGGGCCACGGAATGGTCAAAACCATCACTCATGTTGAGGCGCCGAAATTTCAGTCTAGATAATTTCTGAGAAAACAGCAAAGTGTGCATAACGTAGAAAAATTCTACTACATACAGCAGTTCAATTTTCAAAAGAATGCGTTTACTCGCGCTGAAATTCTGGCCAAAAAAGTAAGTGCAATGAAATTCTGATTTTGATTGCGGTTGTATGAAGCTCTAGAAATTTCTAACGAATGAGGGTAGAAGCTTATTTCAACCACCACTGAATAGAGCATGAAAGAAGCTTCTTGATGGTATGCTGGGTAAGTTTCATAAGAGAAACTTTGATGGAGAAAAGCTATCTTGAAACAAGGGCTAGAAAAACGCGCATTACTTTTGCACCAACCTAATAGTACCCGAAAGTTATCAGTTTAGCCGGGAAAAAATTATTAAAAATAGGCATTCTTCTGCTTCCAATCTAAAAACCTATAGAAATCTTATAACTTCCATAAACGATCCAAAGTACAGTACAAAGTAAAGTAAAAGAGTCTCTAGAGGGTGGAAATTGTAAATCTTTAACCTATAATCTGCCAATCCAACCACATTATGACTGATCATATTATGTTATGCATTTTAAGCGTTATTTTTGAGGTTTATTCGAATACACAGATAAATACTATATCAAAGAAAGTGAATAAAAACAAGTAACAGCACGCGATACGGATATAAGTGGGGAATGTGATAATAAAAGCAATGATGACGGTTAATCAAGAGAAGTTCTAGTACGGTTGACGGTTACCGGCTACAATGGCGAGCAAAGCGTCGCGATATTGACCAGAGGTGTCACCCTAAAACAGGAAATTTTTAGTTGTATAAAAATTAGAGCCTGAAAAAAATCAAAGAAGCCTACTGGAAAAGTTCTTTTAACCATACCTTGATCATTTCGGCAAGTGGCTTGTTGTACATTTTTTCAAATTCTTCCTTGATAAGTTGGAGATCAACTTCTGAGCGGGTGACCAACACACGGATCAGATCATTATCGTTAGTTCCCAGACCCTGATCAAGCAGATCAAAATTCGTAAACAACCCCTCATACAAGTGCAAAAACTACCTTCATCGAGTAGTAAAGTTGTTCAGCAAAGAATTTCTGCTTGTCAGTAGATGCTTTAACGATGGTGAGATAACTTTTCTGCAAGTCACCGCTGAACTCTTTTTCGATCGCCTTCTCGATGGTGGTCCCGGAGAGATTGGCGAATTCGGCGAAAACCTAGACCACATTCATAGATACTCCTCTAGCCATTTTTCAGTAATAAAATTGCCCACCTTTCTCAACTGATACTGATTCTGAGAGGCAAGGATGGTCAAGAAGTGCGATGGAGCACCTTTGCCAACCAACTTGGCCTTACCGTCAGCGAAAAGTCGAATGGCATCCTTGAAAAATACCAGTACTGTACAATTTTTTAATTTGAAAAAAAAGGAGCTTACATCTTTGGCATTCGCGTCGTTGGTTTCGCGACCGCTGTCCTTGCTTCCTGTGGCAAGTGCACACAAGAGATCCTTGAACTCCCCAGATGTATCGCCTGCGATCTAAAAAGTGCCTAATTTAATAGCATAAATGGATTCAAAACTTGATAAGTAACCAGTGAGATACTTATATGGGCATAATCACAATTAGTAGTAGGTCTTGTAAGAAGAAAACTGCTAAGAAAATAATTTTTCAAAGGTTCATCTTTTTGAGAAAAAAAATATCCTGTCGATCTTTTTATAAAGGAAAATCTTCTTAACTTGGTATACATAGCGATTATCTCGTTTAAGAGAGGCAAAATGCGTGGAATTAATTTCATATCCTCCAACAGATGACTTACATAACTCAAAGGTATATAAATTGAGTTCTAACAAAAAGAATTGCGCGAAAAAATGAAATACTAATTCACGCTAACATGAAAAATCGTTACATACCTAATCAATAAGAAGGAAGATAGCTTGAAGAAGACAATGCCTTATAATATGTTCAAGGGCTTTTCCCCGATTTTCCAAGATGCTCTAATGTCTTTATCCCTTCAGAATTGTTTTTTTTTTCACTATTGGAGGGTTGGAAATGGTTTGAATTACTAATAAGCACAATATATTTTATTCATTATCCTTATATGTAGAGCATTTGCCTTGGAGACTGCGAAGAGTTGTTAAAACCTACGTCCTTCTCCAATGGAGTCTTGTATTCCCTCTCATAAGCAATTCGAATTGCAGCCAATTGGTCAGGAGTGCGAGAGCAGAGAATCTCGATCAATGTCGCTTCATCGGTGCCAAGGCCCTACAAGAAGAAAATATCAAAATAAAAATTGCTGGAGCCCTGCAGATGGCGTATTCGCTTTCACCAACCTTCATAGCGGCTTTCAGCTGCTTGACATCATAATCCAGAGGAGTGTCCATCAGCGCAAACACAGTCTTTTCGAGATCTCCACCCAATTTTTTGTCGAGCGCCGAGATGATGTCCTTACCGTACTTGACTTTGTAAGGTTCGCGCAGCTGAAAATATCTACTTACACAAAAATATCTGGTAAATTATGCTGTTGTGATTAGAAAATGCAGAAAAAATACTTAGAAAATGTTACTGTGTAATTAGTTCGTATGCTGTATTCTTAGTATCCAAAAACAGAATTTACAGGCGAGGCTTTATCAATTTGTTTTCAATATCCAACTTCTACCTTATATGTAGCTTAACTAGAATAACATATTATTTTCCCTGAATTTCTAGATTTACCTATAACTAGAAAAGCATATTATTTTCCCTAAATTTCCAGATTTACCTATTTTCTAAAATCGTTTACAACAATTCAGTTCGTATTTGTTCTTGCTTGTTCTTGAGAGAAAAAACAGAACAAATTTAGATCATATGGAATGAATTCCTTTTTTATATCGGTGAGTCTAGAGAATTCTAGGAAATTTCACATGGGTAAGTTTCATAAAAAATTTTCGCACTACTTTGTGAACTACTTCAAGTTTCAAAAGTCTCAAACAACTCGTGTTATAATTCACGCAATAAATATGTTTACCCCTATGGTAATTATGAATGGCTATTGTATGCACACAAGCAGCATGTAATTATGTTTAGAATTCTTTCCAACGACTGACCAATTGACGCTGATTGTTGCTGATCGAGGTCAGAATATGGGCGATGGCGTCCTTGTCGCTAGCTCTCAGAGCACGGTCGACTTTCTCAGCATACATAGCCGGATGGAAATCCGGGTTATCAAGGATTGTTGCATATGGGGAGTTCATTCTGCAAATCATAAATTTACCTTACGATAAGAGGTAAATGAAATGATTATTACGAGAAGAAAAAGGGAAGAAAGACGAATTTGTAGAAGATTAGAGATGAATATGCAAGGTTTGCAAAATGCAGTCATACTGATTAGACTTGAGGATTATACATCCGTTGCCTAGCAGACGATCTAATTGAAGAGGCTTCTTCATCATAGAGAAAGAGCAACGATACCCAATATCGTACATATGCACGAGAGCATAGGAGAGCAGGAATATGTAATCCAAGCTCTCGCAGGCCGCCTATTCGCACATAAAAGCCAAATGCGAAAGCGCAGACCTTTGATAAAAAAGATGCTCCGTTTTTGTGCGCAGCGCTGCAGACAGAACCGAATAAATCAAAGCTGCAAGAGGCTGCAGTTAGATGTTCAATGCTTTTATTCTCTTCTTCACGTACAAAGTTAGCGCATGCAACCCATAAACAAAGAGTTTACTGCTCCCGGAAGCAACAGAAGTTCGGGATGATTTTGTGGAGAGATGAGAGCTGACTAGATCTTTGGACTGCAATGGCTGCTATGGGGGAGACGAATGCTCTCCCGAGAGAGTTCATTAGCCTTTATTGAGTCGCATCTGCACTGCGCTAAGTTCTTTGGACTATGAAGGCCTGGTGAAGATGAGATGAGAGATGATAATTAATAATGATTTGGTTCAACATCAACAGCAATTAGTAAATTACCAGATAAGCACCAGAAACATGAAGAAATAGCTCAACAAGTAGTGAACTAAGTGCAGAAGTTGCCTATAAAAAGAGCAATGAGATCTGTTGTAAAGTAGAGATTTTACTGACTCTATTTCGAATTTTACTGTTCTACTATTTTTTCATTTTAGAGACGGCAAACTTTTAAATAATTGTTAAAAGTATCAAGATTAAAGTCTCACTTTCAAAATTATTTTCACAATTATCAAGGATAGGACGAGAAGGCAGTTTATGAGATAGGAAGCAAAATCAAAAAATATGCGAATGATTTGTTCTTGCAACGAGAGCAGAGGCTGTGGAAGAGCGTCTGCCCCCCTGTAATTGAGTAGAGAAATCAAAAGTGTTTTGCATGAGTTAAAAAAAGAAAGAAATAAGTGAAATGGTTTTCAAATATTTGAGGGTTGTGAAAATTACTTTTTGAGATCGCCATGGTACCTCCTCTTCAAAGCTCGAGTTATGAATCCGCATAAATTCAAAAATTCTCATGTATTTCTATCTCACCAAGCCCTTTGACGAAAAGATTTCGCGTCCCAATAAAAACTCCTCGGACCGCCTTTGGAGGTTGTAAATGCTTGCTTTCGGCATATTTCAGACGGGATTTTATGAAACCAAAAAAGTAACAATCACGGCTTGGCTGAGAAAAATTACTGCATTATTAAACTGATAGACAAAAGAGAATCTAGCTCTTAGGAAAGAAAAGATATTTTAATTCATTATTTCTTATGCAGTCTTCCACGTACTGATCTTTATCAAACTCTTGGTATTACAGACTGCCTCCTATTCGTCACTCGGTGAAAAATGCAAGATTCTTGAGAAACCACAGATTCTGAGAGTGTGCAGAGCTTCCAGTGTAATTTGCACCATGTGAACACATAAAACACATTGTATGGATAATTTTCAGTGTTAGTATAGCCAGGAAAAAATCGTCCCATGGAAGAGAACAAGTTCAAGGTAACAGAATGGCTTTGTGCCAAGAATACGAGAAAAAACGAAATAACGCCTACACCACACTAAGAGGAGTCGATAGCATCTGCATAAGGTTCGATAAGAGCCCTCGCCCTCACCGATTCAGCCAGCGAAGAGAGCCTGACCTCGACGAAGACGAGCGAAGGTCGCTCTTCGCTAGAGGACATCGACAGCCCCCGTCGAGGGCGTCGATGACTCAGCCGACGATCAATGTGTTGCCGAAAAACTGTGCACGATCGAATGGTGCAAAAGTCCACGTAAAAAGTGCCAGAATGACACTTCTAACGGGGTGGACAGTTGCGCAAGAAAGGAGTCGAGGTAATGCGATATCTTCAAATCATCGTTTTGGGTTTCTCAAGACTGAGAGACGATAAGTTGAGACAATGCAGCGCAGCGCCTCGAAGCATCTGATGACTAATAACTGTACGTTTGTTCTCCGGCGATAAAGAGAGCGATTAGTCAGCGAACGAAGAGAAGAGATGGAATAGTAAGCATTGCTGTAGAAATGAGAAAATATTTTGTTTTTGAAAATGTATGTCATTTAATTTCGTGACAAATTCTTAGGTCAATACATAAGTCATGCAACAAAATTCAAAACATAGTTTCCCCTAGCTTCAATGCAATCTTTCACTACAAATTTATAGAATAAATCTTGCGCTTTCCAGATGTACTTGAGAAAAAATATATTATCGTCATATCGCAATAAATACAATCCATATAGAGAAACACTCGAAAAGTGGTTTATTGGAAGCAAAAATTGTGACGTTTTTTTTAGTCGACGTTTCGTTTTTTGGAGAATTTTTAGGGTTTTTCAGGGAATATGGTATAGGGTCAAAGGGAACTTCTTAAAAATTCCCAAAAGCCAAGGGGACTTTGTTTTTTGCATTTTCATCTGCCACCTCGTACCGAGCCATGCCTTGCTATCCCAAAGAAGTTCGTGTTGATACGTCTAATAGATAGTGATTTACGTTTTTCATTCAACTTTTTGCTTTCAGTACTCAAATTCCATTGGACTAAAGAACAAGTTTTGATCTATCCAGAAATTCGTAATGTTTTAGAAGAATTATTTGAACATTTCTTAAACGAACTTTTTATGTTTTGGGCTTATGTAGCAACCTGATAAAAGCATAGACGATCTCAGCATCTACATGACTGAATGCAGCCAATGCAAAAAGAAATTTATTTGCGATTTACAATGGCCTTCTCTCGAAATTTATGAGAAGTACTGGAAAATTCTCTTATTTATTATGCTTTTATTTCTGCGAGGCCGCCGGAATACTAAGGAAAGACCATAGCTGACAGAGACTAGCTGGTATGTGCTTATATGTTTTCTTTATATTTCCTTTTTTGGTGTATCGCGAGTGTGGTAATTAAATGACTATACCAATAAATTCCGACATGTTAATAAGACTCCTGAAATGCGTACGATAGATAAATAAATAAATATCAATCACAGCCAAGAACTTACTGTAATAAACTTTTTTTAATCGATACTCCATCTTCTACAGAATTGTATAAATTTAGCTCCAGATGGAAAAGCAAGGAAGAAAACCGTTTTTTCTTTTTGCTCTCACTTCATCATCCTCTTCTAGAAGAAAAACTAGTTTTGAATAACTTCAGACCGGCAACGTCTCTATGACAAGCATAGCATTCAAGTGGGAGAGATTCGGCAGTTTCAAGTCAATAGCATTTGCAGCTTTCCAAAAATAAGGTGTTTATCTGCACTAGAAACATCAACAATTATTATGCGAAGTTGTGAGTGCATGAAAAACCTGTTCGATAAGAACATCAAGTATTTTTGTGAAGAGAACTTGCTCTATGCAGTCACGGAAACATAATTATCATGTCGTTATGACCGAGTAGTCATTTGATTTTTGAGACTGCTGAAACATCCCACGCTCCAGTAGGAAGAAAGAACATAAAGGGTAGATCTTAAATCTAAAGACTGCAAGCTTTGTTAGAGATGAAATTGCATAAATTGAATTTTAAAAATGCAATAGGCAATCATACTAATGGTATAATACATATGGACAAATAGCAGAAATCATGAAGTAGATAAAAATACAAAAGGAGCGTCATTACTTTACATCGAGAGTAGACTTTGAAAGGAGAAAACTTCTTCTGAAAAAGAGTTTACTGTACTATTTTGTTTTCAAAATCCACAACTTTCATTTTATTCAATCATTTGTTTCGTATTTAATCTGTTTATTTAATCAATTACTTTTCATTGTACATATTCGTAAAGCTCGGTTTATAGGATGCACTCAAAAATTTCTATTTTGCTTTTTATAAAGCTTTTCGCCATTCTTCGCCATTTTGGTTTTCGGTTTTCGCCATTTTTCTACTACCATTCTATTGCGTACGTAATAGCGTTATGTGTGTACTAGCTATGCAAAATAAATAAAAAGACAATGCAAGTTTAAATCAGTCATTTCTCTTGAAGCTTAGAGCAGATATTTACGAGGAATATGCAGATGTGTATCAGGAATCGAATTGCTTTTTCGTTAAATAGATTTCGCATCGGGATGCGAGAAAAACTGCTGGAAGGAATGCATTTTAGAGGGGGACGGCGGATGGACTTATTTCTATGGATTGAGTATGCATCAGTGCTCAGTGGACCAAAGAGCATTATGCTAGCGTTTCGAATGTGCATTCGGGACTTCCAATTTGTTTACGAGGGAGCTGAATCGAACAAGGGCCGCTGTCGACGGATAAGTTGCAGTTGCAGAGAGACAAATGGGCTCAAGGGCTTTTGCAAATATTTGCGAAGCTCAAGCTTTGAAAGAGAGTACATAGAAAGCTGTTAGCTAAAGTATCGGAGAATTCTGGCGCTTGGATAAATGACAGACCTAAAGAATGAAATTCTTAGAATTTTAGTCGTGAGAGCCCATTCTATAATAAAAGGGGTAGTGAAGAGAGAATTCTTCTCGTCACGAAAGCGGCCGACGAAGGTCAACAAATGCGAATGTGTACGAAACGACTCAGCCAGCGCACTTACGCGCACGAAGAATGTGAAAACATATGAATAATGCGGAACGGATAGAATCTATACTCGGAAAATATTCGCTCTGCACTAAGAGGATAATATTTTCGCTAAGTACTATGACAGGAATGCAAAGCCGAGAAAAAAAAATACAGAAAAAAATTTCCATCGAAAAAAAATAGAAAGAGTGTTCGTGGCTGAACATATAACGCATTACTTTGAATAATCGTAGAAAATTTTAACAGTGGCAGAGGACAGAAGCATAGGAGCTTTTTCCAATCCAAGAATGGATTTCTGAAGAAAATTTAGAGA